TTGTTTCATTGGATGTAAAAAGTGTACACTATGATGCAGAACACGCGCAAAACGTAAAATTTATCGCGTTTTAAAGTTGGAGTGCACAGGAGTAACACAATTATGCTCTCCCTCTCTCTCGCTCTCTCTCTCACACACACACACAAACACACGTTTCTGCAGCATGGTCAGGCTGTAGGGATGCATCCACGCAGACAGTTACAAAACCGTCAATGTAGCAATTTGCACTGTGCAGCAAGAAGGTTAGCGACCCCAGACCCACATGTGACCCCTGCTGTTGATTAGCACATGCAGTTTGTCGGCAGTACATCATGGCACGCTAAGAAAAAACACATTCTGTGCGACGGACATCCACCGGTGATTAAACGCTTCAATGAGCCTCCAATCTAGTTCATCTAAATGCAGAATCCTCCCCCCTCTTCCCCACCCTCTCCTTATCGATCATGCGTCACGTCTCGGACGCTGCCACACTCCAACTGACCATCTCAACCCACCGTACTGTGCTGTGCAGTGTGTATCAAACGGGTAGTGCGCTGCGCGTAAAAACAGCAACGCGCCTGGCACCGAGACGCACAGTATCGATACTTGATCATCCCATTTGTTTGTGTCGATTCCACAATGTTCACGCACATGAACAGACGCAAACTCACCCAGGGTGCGAACGTAGGTCCTCCCCGTGCGTCTCTTGATCCGTGTCCGTGATCCAGTAAAAAGAGATGGACGAGCCCGAGCAGCAAAGGCGCTTAAGAACTAGTGGACGACAGCCAAACGCCACCGACTTGCCCCCTTCTTGTCTCTTCACTGTACCCTCCTCTCTGCTCCTTCACTCTGCCCCTCTTCCCCGGGGCAGGATGAAAAGCGGCTGTAATAATCCAGACATTGTCCTTTTCTTCAGCAGATTTACAGTAAAAGTAAAGAACGATGTGATGAGAATACTCTCAAAATACAAGTTCGGAGTTTGGATGAATTCTCCGTTCTGTTTGGGAAAACTGTCAAGTGTAATCCGCCTTTAGAAACAGTCTCACAGAGCAGTCCACGATTTAAAAAAAAACTCCGGATTAGGATTTTGTGGCAACCCCGGTGTTGCAATGTGGTTTAAGACGTTTCAAAACAGAAAAGTTTAAATGTCGAAAGGCTGGAAACCAAAGATAGCTGACAAGAAAGCGACAATTAATCCCAGGACGAGATCTTCTCGTACTTCCCTCCCCAGTGAAACTCTCCCTTCAGAGGGATCGTAGCGCACCTGCGGCCGAAGCAAAGACGCACAGGTATCCACGACCCGAGCACCCCCCGCCCTTTCCTACTGTGTGTTTTATTCCGCGTTTTAATCCTTGGTTTGATGAGTCTCTCTGCCCGACGTTCATCACTCAGTGTCAAGCCTGGCGTTGTTTCTCCAAGTAGCTCGGGAAAGCATCTCTTTTCACCAGCTCTCTCTCTCTCTCTGCCTGTCTTTCTCTCTGTCTCTCTCTCCTCCTCAAGCTCCGTTCATCCTCCCTGTTGTGAAACCACACCTCTCTCGGCTGTGATTGGCTGGAAAGCGCAGAGGAGGTAAAGGAAGGAGGCGAACGCGCTGCGATGATGCGCACTGAGTAGGAGAAGAGAGGTGAGGAGACGACAGGAGCGGGGATAGAGGGAGAGAAGAGAGAGGGAGACAAAGGAGAGAATTAGGGAAAGCAAAAGATGGAGAGAGAACGAGAGAGAGAGAGTGAGACAGAGAAGTAGGAGAAAGGAGGTACATAAACAGGGAGGGTGTGTTTGTGAGTGTTCATGTTTGTGGAAGAGAGGCTAGCTCATGCACTAAGCTCAATGTGTTGGAGCCTAAAGGGAAGGACCGTCTAATGAAAGTGAAAATGTTCCCTCCTTTTGTCCCCCCTCTCATTCACTCGCACGGCTTGAGCCAAAATGTGTCCGCTGCATATCTGCTTTGACAGCAGTAAAATCCGAATTCATCCTGACAGTGTCCCCCATTACTGAGCACAGTCATACACTTCTGTCTGTCTGTCTCCTTCTCTTTGTAAGAATCTGGTGTCTGTCAGCTCAGCAGCTTCCTTGGCGAGTCTGTGATGAATAAGTAAGTGGTGGAAGGAGGGCTGGAGAGTGGAGTGCATGTTGAATATACTGCCCAGAAGGGAAATAAGTGACAGTCCTCTATACTGGGATCAAATGAGGTGGGCCGGATATTGTGGATGTTGTGGCGCAACCGCAGATCTGAGCGGAAAGCATGCAGACAAAGTCACTTGACAGCTGCAGGGAGAGGCTTTGATTGATGGCAACGCTCCAGGGAGTGTTTCAATATGAACTTGGTTAACTCAGAGCAACATGAAGCATTCATCATGGGCTGCCATGCAGGAGTGAGATGCTCACGGTAAGCCAGGCAGCCTTTTATTTAGAAAGGCACCTGGGGAGCATCTTCACAGACACTGCAACTACCTATTTGCAGCTATTTTAAGGCTCACATCAACAAACCTGTAACACTACCTCAAATCAAAGCTTCAACGACTTGACTGCAGCTGCTTGAAGTCACTCATCAAGTTTCAAGATTCTAACGATCCAGGAGGTCTGTGGATGTGCAACACACTGCTTTATGTAGCAGACATAACATTTTATAAATTCTAATCAAAAGAAGAAGATTTTGCCCTGACTTCCACACATTTTAAACCATATCATCTTGACGCTTCAAACTCCTGTGAGAAACTTTTGGTTGGTGTCATTTCTGGTGCCTCCAGTGGACAAAGCCATCTGTGCTCTTCTTGTCCTCCACAAGCTTCAGTAGAGTTCACTGACAAAAAGTCTCACTCTGCTGACTTTTGACAGCCCATAGTCCCATAGTCTGTAGGTCAAAATCAACTTCACTATTCTGGTGTGGTTATTTACTTAAATACTGGCACTACAACCTAGACACAATGTTCCACAGACCAAAGTTATAATAGTTTTGAATTTTTCATGATAGTTAAGTTTTATTTTGTTTGGACTCTTTTTTCTCTCTCTCTAATTCAGTTCGTTTTATTTAGGTTTTTTAGAGTGGGTTTGTTGTTGTTGTTGTTGTTGTTTTTTCCCCTAAATAATTCGTTTTTGTTTAGTTTTTATTAGTTTTAGTATTTGTATTTTTTTTTTCAGTTTTAGTATTTAGTTTTCATACTTGGCAACAAGGTTATTTACTTGTGCAGCACCAGGTGATTTGAATTTGTAGCTAAACTTTTCAAAGGCAATCAACTCAGACAGTCTTGTAGACACACCTGTCTCAATAAACACATTATGAGTGCCTCTTCCCACTTGTGGTGTTGCTGTGTGTTTACTAACCAGGAGCTCTTTGGTCGTCAGTAAAAATAGTCCATTATAGTTTGTCCCCTGCCTCCTGGTTCTATCCCCTGGCCAAGATGTTGCTTCTCTTTCAGGGGAGCTACTCAGAGAAGCTCCTCTCTGAGTAGCTTAGCATTCTTGTGGGAGCCTCTCAAATGGACTTTCAGATTTGTGAGTTTTTTTTCCCTTGAGAAATATTCCTCATACTTCATCACCAGTTTTTAGGGCACTTGCTTTTGTCTTTCTCGCTGTCATATTTAAAGAAATTTCATATAGGACTCTGTTGCTTTCTCCTGGGTTTTGTTGCCATTTCGCCAGGTAGAATAGTGATGAGAGGCCGACTCTTAACAAGAAGTGATGAACTGGGAGGTGCTGTACAGTGCTGCTAGCTCACGCAGATTTATGTGACAGATAGGTGTTGGTACCTGCAGGGCATTTCTGCCTGACGCACCTCCGACGGTGCCTAGACTCCAACTGCAGGGTTGCGGCTGAGAGCCATCCTGGCCTCGCCCCTCTCCAGGTAGTGACCCTAGACTCTGCATGGCAGGGGCGTCCTCCTCCCTGAGCCAGGCTTGCACCTGACCGCATACCTGATGGTTGGGAAGCGAAGGTTGAAACCTCATGGGCCGCTTCCATCGGGCCCACTTCAGCCAGTACAGAAGTACCAGCTGCAGGGTCATCAGCTAGGAGCCATCCTTCACTGATGTTTCGCCCCTTTGATCACCAGAACATCTCAGGATGGTGGGGCAGCGGTCAGGGACGTCTCCCCGCCACTCCCTGCAGCTGGACTTCGGCACTCAGGCTTACTGTGTGGCATCTCGATTCCCCCAACTCCTATCTTTTCTTCTCAGCCAGAGCCAGAAACTTCCCTTTTCTGCTTCCTCTGAGAGATCCTGTAGGACCTTCCTGGCCTTTGCTGCTGTGAAGCCGATGTCCCTCAGGAAGCGGTTTGTTGAGAGGCCAGCATAGCCGCGGCAGCCAACTTCAACTGGATAGGTTGATGCTCTCCAGCCTTTCTCTTCACATTCTGCCACCAACTCTGCATAACGGGCCATTTTCCTCTCATACGCTTCCTGGATGTTCTGCTCCCAAGGGACCGTCAACTCGACTAACAGGACTCGCTTCTCAGTTGAGGACCACAGGACGATGTCGGGTCTCAGTGTGGTGGTGGTGATGTCGAATGGGAAGCGTAGCTGCCTGTCAAGGTCAGCTCTCATTGACCAGTCTTTGCCTGGAGTCAGGACCGCTGCTCTGTCTGCTTTAGGGCAGTTTTTCTTGGCTTGTCCCGCTGTTACAAACTGGACCAGCTGCCTCTGTTGGGATGTTGTCTTCTCATTGGCCAGGACTCTCATGTTCTCTGTGTGCTCCGCCAACTTTCTTAGCACCTGGTCATGACGCCATGTGTATCGGCCCTGGGCCAAGGCTGTTGGACAGCCGCACAAGATGTGGCGAAGATTTCCCTTGCCTGTTTCGCAGAGGCTACAGTTGTCTTCAGATCCATACCACTGTGCCAGGTTCGTTGGGCTAGGAAGAGTGTCATATGTGGCTCTGATTAGAAAGCTCAGTCTTGCCTGAGGCATCTTCCACAGGTCGTTCCATTTTACTGACCTTGGTAGGAAGCCCTCCCACTTTGTCCACTGACCTTGCTGGCATTGGCCAATAGACTTGGCAAAGAACCTGTCTTCCTCCATCCTTGTCACCTCTGTGACCACTAGCTGTTTCCTTTCTTTCAAGGATGCCTTTGACCACATCTTTTGTGGCTCTCCCCAGCCCAGGCCACGCCTTCCTTGCTGTGTTCTTCCGACAAGCTCTTGATGTTTCAATCTGGAGATTGCATCGTCCACACACTCCTCTGCCTTCCATGCTCGGCCTGTCCGGATCTTAGCCCCAGCATTTCTGACCAGATGGTCACTTGACTGTCGGAGTTCCAGCACCAGCCTTGACTTCTCCAGCCTATAACCAGTTGAGATGTTCTTCACTGGTAGCTGCAGTGCATTTCTTCCAAACAGCGCTGCATCGGAGAGGCATCTTGGGAGCCCAAGCCATTTTTTGATGTAGTTGTTGGCCTTGGCATCCAGCTTCGTGACTGTTGTTGCCGTTATCTCACACATCTTTAGGGGCCACATCACCCGCTGGTATAGTGTGAATTGATAACACCAGACTTTGAACTTGCCAGGAAGGTAGCTCTGGTCAATCCTTTTTAACCCCTCTTTCAGTTGGTCTGTGACTGCAGCTGCCATGTGCTTGTCTGAGAGATCCGCTGTATATTCTCTGCCAAGGCTTCTGAGTGGTTGTTCTGCAAGTACGGGAATTCTCTCTCCTGCAAAACTGATCGAGCAAAATATCAATCCAAAATAGACAAAAACAAAGTTAGTTATTATTTTTTTTATTATAGTTTTTATTTCAGTTTTCGAAAAGTTTCTTCAGTTTTAGTTTTTGTCATTCCGTTAGTTTAATTAACAATAATAACCCTGCCACAGACTTGCTCTCTGTCTAACCTCTGTCTTCTCCGAATGTGTTAGAAGCTTATTTTACGACAGCACCAAAGATCATATAGACCAACCAATTATTGTAATGTTTTCAATGTATAACAGTCTGACTTCCTGTCTGGGGGAAGGAATGTGTTTTCTTTTTTAGTGTCAGATGCAAGTCTCTCAGTACATTCACAAGCAGCCGTTAAAGTTTGTTAATGTAAGTAGATCCAGCTTCAAGATGAGTAACACAGTATCTGAAGATGGATGCAGTTGGTGTCACATTTATCACTTTTTTCTGCCCTTGGGAACTTATAAAAGTTCAGTTTTTCATTTTGGTTTCTTATTTCACTTTGATTCAAAAGGGGTAAAGTCGAAGGCTTGAATGCTTCTGGAGGAGGATAGCAGCTTCAGAAAGTAAATCAGCCTAGACTCAACTTTGAAAAGTGACTTATCATAATGCAAATTTGAAAAAAGCAGATGATAATAATACGATAACCTGAGATGATTTTTGTAGCTACATTTCCAGTGTTCAATGTTGTCATAGCTTTTCCTCTTTTTATCAGTAGTTAGACATCTTGACCGAAACCCCAATCTTATTTTAAAAACCTGATGTACTTTCAAATGCAAATCTGTCTCTAAGAAAAAAAGCACATTATAGACTCACCTATAAATTGCCTCAATTTTAGTGCATTTTTTTTGTGTGTAATTTTCCATTTCAATTGAAATTCTCTTGCACAGGACTTGTTTCTACTGTGGGTGACAGACAGAAGGGAAGTTTGTTAAACATGGACTAAGATCAGAGGAGCAGCTCAGGCCTGTTTGGCACAGCAATAAGTAAATGGATTCCTGCAGTGTGTACCCAAAGGTTTGCAGCCTCGCAGGGGCGAGGATGTCAGTGGGATATTGGAGAGAGTCTGAAGCTTGTATAAGATCAGATGAGGGACTGCAAATTAAAATGTTGTCTCTGTCAAAACACTCTTGGCTACAAAAGAAAAAAAAACACAGCTGTCTGTTTGCATGTATACAGGTGCACATAAACAAACCTGAGGCCTTTCTTTCAAAAATATGTTTGTGCAGGTTTTGTTTTCCTCTCTTTCTGTCTCTGCATATCCCTCCATTATTCCTCTCTGTGCATCTGCGGTAAATTTGTTCATTAAATTTGAATGCTGGAGCATCAGCATGAACTCACCTCAGTTTATGTCAAGGCACTAGAGCCAAGGCCTCATCACCCACAGCTACAGGGGGAACATTTTATTGGCAGGATGAACCCATTGCATTTTGTATCAGTGTGAAAGCCAAGCCTGCTTTTATGTCCCCTCATCAGGACATTCAGGGTGGGATTGTTCACTCCCGCTCTTGTCACACCTCCACCCCCCAACTCCCCATCCTGTCTTGATACAAATGAGGGATTAAAGCAAAGACGTCTAGAACAGAGAACTGTGATGGGAAAGGAGAAAAAGGATGACAGCAGCTCAGTGAAATCCACAGGATATGTATTTCTTTTGTCTCAGAGCTTAGAAAGTACAACACCCACTCAGGAGCTCAGCTTGATCTCTCTTTTTCATTATTGCATTTTTTTTCTGTCTGCTGTGGGCTGTGATGTTAAATACCGGCCAGCAGGGACTGTTTTTTTTTTTCCCCTCCATGTATGGAATAATAAGATGAAGGATATTCATGTATCTTCTTTTTACAGAGACACAGGGATGTCAGGAGACTGATTTAACACATTCTTTAAACAATACCATAAAAAATGTCAAAGCCTGAATATGAATTTTTAGATAAAATGGTAAAAAATATACTAATCCCAAATGAAACATTTGAAATAGCTGTTTAAAAAGGATGTCCACTTTTAGACCTAATTCCAACAGTATCCTTCTCAAATGATCTAATCCAGACAACCAGGCAATAAGTGGCAATGTCTTAGAAGCTGATGTAGCCACTGGTTTTAAAAGCATAGCTAATTCAGATGTGCACTGAACCTGTGTGTTCATAATAGCTACCAGTGGGTGACTCTAGTTGGTGCCAAAACAAACAACCAAAAATTGGTTGTTGATGTGCTGGAGAATTTTATTAAAGATTTAATAAAGTACACATTCCTCTGACACTGTAAGGAGATTTTATGTCCCCCTTGGAGGAAATTGGTTTTCTTTTTCTAGGACAAAGACTACATTTCCCATAATCAATATCACCAACTGTCATAAAAATGTTGGTCTTTCCAAAGCGTGCATTGGTTGTGGAAACAAATTCAGAGGCTGTGTCAACTGATTTTTGTTCCTGTGCTGCTTTCGTCTATTTCTATTCATACCAAATGCAGCTAAGCATTTTTATGCTGAGCGCATGGACTGTACGTATATGCTATGGACAACTTGGCTCCTCCTTCCATCATTATACAAATTTAATGCTGAATTACTCTCCGTATTTCCTCAGCTTCCTGGAACCACCACTTGCGCCGTAGCGTTGTATGCGTTTGGCGGGAGAGTCACAGTGATGATGCTCTGCTCAAACAGCGTATCCCCCGGGTGAGCTAGGCAGTCTTCATGCGCCCAGCGGCTGTATCAAGTGTCAATCATAGAAAACATGAACCCCCTAATAACTTTTAAAAATGGAGCTGTACAGAAAAAAGAGGACTTGAACTCAAACCACTCTTATAGTATCTACCATGTCAACATCGCTACCAGGGGGAGAAAAATTTATATTCTGTGAAAAAAAGTTCTAAAGTTTGTCCACAGCTCCATGGGGATTGCTGGAGGAAGCGGGACCTCCTTATGACCTATACTGCAGCTCGTCACCAGAGGTTGCTGTTCTCGGGTGGCTTCACCCAGAGAGGAGGAAGATGGCGTCCATACTATATACAGTTTATGGCTGAGTGCCTTTTGCATTAGTCGTTCTTTTTCACTGCACTGTCACCTGAAAAGGGTTCAACTCTTTGAAACAATGCTGCTTTCATTAGTGTCACTACTTGAACACTTACTAATCAGATTCAAGAAAGGGTCGGACTTCTGATAGTGTCTTTGTCAACGTCAGCGGTGGAGGTCTTTCCAGGAGAGAAAGTGATCATGCTCACTTTATCAAGGAACATTATCCAGGTCTGGAGCTGCTACTCATGCCATACCAGGATTTTCATCAACTGTGCTAGATTTTCTTTGTAAATGAAATAATGAAAACAAATATTGATTTGTAGCTAACTTAAATCATGAACTGTTACTTACTGTTACTGTTACATTGCTTAGGTGTTGGTTTTATGTGACCTGTCACAGCCCTTGTGTTATAATGCTCACGAAATGATTGTTCATCGTTGACAATTTGCATTTTCATTTCAACCTCTCTATTTTGAACCAAAATACTTTTACATCAGTCCTTTGTCTTCTGATGACAACTAATGGTTGTTTCCTGCATCAAAATGCTGTAACCATGAAACACTAAAAAATCAAAATGTTTTATTTTCTCCCTCTCACTGGTTTTCATCATTTTTCCTCTCTGATTTACTGTCTAGTTTGGTCAACCACTCGCTCTTCTCATCCATCACTCATCTTAATAACTACTGTCAGACTGTTAGAGTTTTATCTCTCTCTTCACAGACAAATCCTCGCCCTCTCGAGCTTTTCTTCAGGTATCAAATTTAGCTTAGTTCCCAGGGGGACTTCTTGCTGTGGAAACACCCCGTTTGTCTTTTATAAGACATAACAAGTTGTTATTTGGTCATAGATTCAGATCCAGCTGGTGGGTCATTTTGTGCTGACAAGATTTTTTCCTGATAAACCTAACAATGTCAAATGTTTCAAATTGAAAGTCCCAGTTACAGAAACTTTTCAAACTTGAACTTTATTCATTTTCATAAATTTTTCTAACACTGGTGTTCTGAATTTGGTTGATGAAGTTTCTTTTCTGACATAAAATTTGATCATCAAGACCATAAGTTCTCATTTTGCTTGTGGTTTGTCTGAGTGGTGTTGTCATACCCGTCTACGTCTCCATTTGCCTCCCCCATCATCTTTGTATTGCTTCTAGCTCCTTACTGGTGAGAGCACACTGAATGGTTGAATACAGAGTTTATGTCATGAAACAACTAGATTGAACACAATAAGACCAAAGAAATACAGAAATATTAACCATGTTTAATTTTACCAATGAGAAAAAAAACAGACTTATCAGTCCTGACCACCTTACACCAAAAAACTGAGATTAAGGGAACATGCCTTTACTTCAGCAAAACTCAAAATTGTATTTCGTCAAGAAATCTTTCTGTGACCTCAAAATCACTTCACCAGTCCACCGGTCCTCTAATGTAAACCCAGCATTAGTTGTTCTTTTTATCCTATGATTGGTTGTGTCTGTTATTAATTATTCTTATCATTATTACTATTATTTCAGAGCTGTAAATCTGTAAATGTCTAGCATGTGACTTGAAATCAATGTAAATCTTTTTTATTTTATTTTATTTTTTTAAATATAAGTAGACCCATGTGTTAGATACTTGTACACTATTATGACCAAATACTCCAGTACTTTTTCAAGCAATGAGCAAGCTAATGGTAGTGGTCTAAGCTGTGAATTATTCGCCATTAAATTTAGCTTCACTACACCGACAAAACTACCTCCAAAAAAATTGTAAGCTTAGGCTAGAGCAAAATATTATA